CTGTCTTTGTTCACCTTGTCAGTTCCTTGCAGTATTTTATATGTCATTATCATGTCTCCCCTGTCCTCCATTGTCGATAGGCCAGTATCCCATAACTTTTCTGCGTAGGACAATCCCCTTATCTCTGGGACTAGTCTCGTTGGAAACCTTTGCACTTTCTCTAATTTCTTGACGTGCCTGACCAGGTGTGGATTCCAAACTGCTGCTGCATACTCCAGTATGGGCCTGACATACATGTGTACAATATCTTGAACGATTTCTTACCGAGATATCGGAATGCTATTCTCAGGTTTGCCAGGGACCCATATGCTGCAGCAGTTATCTGTTTGATGTGTGCTTCCGGAGACATGCTCGGTGTTATACTCACCCCAAGATCTCTCTCCTTGAGTGAAGTTTGCAGCCTTTGGCCACCTATCCTGTGTGTGTGTGTGACACTAACTACATTGTCATTAAATGGGTATTGGGTGCATATTAAACTAAAGCTTAATTGTAATTCAATTTAATTTCCATTTTGAGGGCTCCCCGGGCCCCCCAAGGTCTAAATCCAGCCCTGAGTAGTACTAGTGTTGTCAGTGATATAGTGGTAGCAGTGATGTCAATGATACAATGGTACCAGCATTGTAAGTGGTTCAGTGGTAGCATTGTTGTGAATGGTACAGTGGTAGCAGTGTTGACATTGGTACAGTTGTAGCAGTGTTATGAATGGTATAGTGGTAACAAAGTTGTCAATGGTACAGTGATAGCAGTGTTGTCAGTGGTACTGTAGTAGGAGTGTTGTCAATGATATAGTGGTACCAGTGTTGTCAAAGATACAGTGGTAGCAGGGTTGTCAATGGTACAGGTGATATCAATGGAACATTATTATTATGATAATCAAGGGGGAGCGCTAAACCTGTAGGATTATGCAGCACCTGTGGGGGGATATGAAAGGTATTCAGGGAACTGGAGAACAGATCCAATTCCCTAGATCAAGAGCCCCTCACCAACGTCAAGGAACCTTCTTTGAGGGGTATCAATGGTACAGGTGTTATCAATGGTACAGTGGTACTGTCACTCTATATGAAATCACAGTTGTGTAATGTCACACATTTGCTGAAGGTTTTATTTGGCCCAGAATTCTAACTATGGTATAATAATAAGTGCTAAACCCATGAGGGTCATACAGCTACTTGTGGTATTGTTTAATTTATATCCTGACTTGTGGCATGATCTTATTTAGGACGAGTTTCGCATCACTCCACCATCTGGTTGTGATAAGTCTCATGTGCAGTGTAAGACGAGTATTATTATAATCAAATATTAAAGCGATAAACCAACAACGATCGTGTAGCAAGTCGAGTATTATATACTACCTGGCTTTCTTGGCTTATTTTAGGTTATTAAACACCTGAGTTAATTCTAACAGTCTTTCTTCATGGGCCGATATTTTTCAAGCACTTTGACATGTAAGGGTTGGATGCATTTTGTGAATATATTCTTTAATGCACATTACAGGTTTAGTGTTTCTTTTTTTATAATAATAATATTAAAGAATAAGAGCTGAACTTGTATAGGACACAACTTGTACAAAATTATTTATGTGTCAGAATCATTAAAATGCATTAATTTCAAAATCTTCATTACTGTCAGAGCAGAAGAATCACACCGTAAATATTACATGACAAAAAGCGTATACATGTATGTGTAATAATTATAATAATAATAATGTTTTTCCAATAAAATATATTTGATACAGAGGTATTTGTATTTAATAATTATATTTGTGATTATTTTACTTCAATAAATAAAAAACATAATTTAAAATAGTCACAAGACTACATTATCGTCACTTAATATCTACGAGTCTCAACACGTCATAATCATGTTAATCAGGACTAGGTTATTAGTTTTTTAAGTAAAGTTCAACTTACAAAGCTCATATAGAACTGAGATAATAGGGGTTAATCAGGTCTAATACAAGGAAGAGGAAGGGTAACCCAATCTGGGAATATGGCCAGGCTCAGGGAGTAGAAAATCTCATGGAACTCATCAGACGTATATCAAAGGCATACCTTATCCCCAAACCCCAGAGAGAAACAATGACATAAAATACTAACACGAATGTAGTGTAAAGCAATCTTTTAATGTTACACACACTGGACTTCAACCACAGATAAATATGGTGAGGGAGAATGAGTTATGTATAGGAAGGACAGTGAGGTATAGTCAGATTAATTGTAGTGAAGCTAAGATTTTTGGTAGGCTCAAAAACAGGTTGGACAAACACTATATGATGCAGAAGTAGGCCTACTGCAATGTTCCTCCATTCTTGTATACAATACTTATGCACTGTTGCTATGTGGGGAACATAAGTACTGTACATCAGCATGGAGCAACACTACAGTAGGCTACCCAAGATTTCAGCTTCAACATACCTGACTGTTCCTTTCACTATGCTTCCATAAATATATAGCCTCGGTTTCCTTCTCTAGGTTTGTCTGAATTGATCAATTTACAGTGCATGTGAAACAACAACCACAAAGGCTTGCATTATTCTCCATTTCTCTTGATAGGACTAATTTCTTGAGCTTCTTAAACAAACTACACTACCCCAGGTCACAGAAAATATTGACAATTTCTTAAAGGTTATGCTGACAGCAAAATATGCATTGACTGCCTTAATTATGAGAGAGTACACAGGCCTCACTTTCAACATCGCTGCCTGATACATTCACTCGAGTCAATGTTCTCTGTGAAAGCCCTCCGTTCAATGCAGAATCTATGACCTAACGGAAAATAACTAGCTAATAATAATCTATTTCTACAAGTACATGTACAACTTATACAGATCCATATCTGACATCAATGACATACTATATAGAAAGCCCCTGGATATGCAGAGTATTTCAGGCAAATTAGGTTAATTTTGTCCCCAGGATGTGACCCACACCAGTCAACTAACACCTAAGTACCTATTTACTGCTAAGTGAACAGGGACAGCAGATGTTTTAAGGAAACATGTCCCAATTCTTCCACTTGTACCAGGGATCATGAGCTTTTACCATCCTATGGAGAGGGAGCATGGACACGGGGGGCGTCCCACAGTTACTAAAAACAATAGACATAGCCCCACTCCACAAAGGAGGCAGTAAAACAATAGCAAAGAACTACAGACTGATAGCACTAACATCCCAAATCATAAAAATCTTTGAAAGGGTCCTAAGAAGCAAGATTGCCACCCATCTAGATACCCATTAATTACACAACCCAGGGCAACATGGGTTTAGAGAATGTCGCTCATGTCTGTCTCAGCTACTGGATCACTACGACAAGGTCCTAGATGCACCAGAAGACAAAAAGAATGCAGATGTAATATATACAGACTTTGCAAAAGCCTTCGACAAGTGTGACCATGGCGTAATAGCGCACACAATGCGTGCTAAAGGAATAACAGGAAAAGTTGGTAGATGGATCTATAATTTCCTCACAAAAAGAACACAAAGAGTAGTAGTCAACAAAGTAAAGTCTGAGGTGGCTACGGTGAAAAGCTCTGTTCCACAAGGCACAGTACTCGCTCCCATCTTGTTTCTCACTCTCATATCTGATATAGACAAGGATGTCAGCCACAGCACCGTGTCTTCCTTTGCAGATGACACCCGAATCTGCATGACAGTGTCTTCCATTGCAGACACTGCAAGGCTCCAGGCGGACATCAACCAAATCTTTCAGTGGGCTGCAGAAAACAATATGAAGTTCAACGATGAGAAATTTCAATTACTCCGATATGGTAAACATGAGGAAATTAAAACTTCATCAGAGTACAAAACAAATTTCTTCCACAAAATAGAGCGAAAAACTAACATCAAAGACCTGGGAGAAATCATGTCGGAGGATCTCACCTTCAAGAACCATAACATTGTATCAATCGCATCTGCTAGAAAAATGACAGGATGGATAATGAGAACCTTCAAAACTAGGGATGCCAAGCCCATGATGACACTCTTCAGGTCACTTGTTCTATCTAGGCTGGAATATTGCTGCACACTAACAGCACCTTTCAAGGCAGGTGAAATTGCTGACCTAGAAAATGTACAGAGAACCTTCACGGTGCGCATAACGGAGATAAAACACCTTAATTACTGGAAGCGCTTGAAGTTCCTGAACCCGTACTCCCTGGAACGCAGGCGAGAGAGATACATGATTATATACACCTGGAAAATCCTAGAGGGACTAGTACTGAACTTGCACACGAAAATCACTCACAACGAAAGTAAAAGACTCGGCAGACGATGCAACATCCCCCTAATGAAAAGCAAGGGTGTCACTAGCACGTTAAGAGACAATACAATAAGTGTCAGGGGCCCGAGACTGTTCAACTGCCTCCCAGCATACATAAGGCAGATTACCAATAGACCCCTGGCAGTCTTCAAGCAGGCACTGGACAAGCACCTCAAGTCGGTACCTGACCAGCCGGGCTGTGGCTCATACATTGGATTGCGTGCAGCCAGGAGGCCTGGTCACAGACCGGGCTGCGGGGGCGTTGACCCCCGGAACTCTCTCCAGGTAATGGACACTCAATGCATGAGCTCAGTGAGCTACCAATCAAGCTTCGAGACAGCAGCTATGAAACCTTTTATACCTAGAACTAACTCTCCACTTGCGTACCCCTTAGCTATAGCACCTCTTACCATGATAACCCTCAGGGATCATACAGGGTCTGAAGTCCTAAAGATGTGCGTTTTCTTAACAGAAACGTGTATAAGAAGCAATAGTTTCAACTGTTAACATATAAGAACATAAGAAAGAAGGAACACTGCAGCAGGCCTACTGGCCCATGTGAGGCAGGTCCAAGTATCTCACTGCCTTAAGCCAATGACCCAATCTAGTCAGGTCACATCCACTTAAGGAAGGAGCATGGCATCGGACCTAGTAGCACAAGCTAGTCAGGTCCAACTCACACACACTCATGTATTTCTTTACCCTATTTTTAAAACTACACAACATTTTTTTTAGCCTCCATGATGGTACTCAGGAGTTTGTTCCACAACTCTATTACCAAACCAGTGCCTTCCTGAATCTGAATTTTTCCAACTTAAAACCATTGCTGTGAGTCCTGTCTTGGCTAGATCATTTTAGCAACTACTTACAGTGTGCTAAAATGGACTATTTTCAAATTTCCTTGACCTGATATTTACTGAAAAATTTTCATGAATTCTTGTGCATCTTGGTAAATTACATACAGCCTCCCCTCACTTACCGACGTACTCGTTTACCGACAACTTGGACTTACGACAGACTCTCTGACCAGTATGCATACCTAAATAATGTATTTTAAAGCTGATTTCCTCTGTTCTGTTTATTGCAATATACAGTACACTACTGTACAAGATAAGATAAGATAAGATTTTGTTCGGATTTTTAACCCCGGAGGGTTAGCCACCCAGGATAACCCAAGAAAGTCAGTGCGTTATCGAGGACTGTCTAACTTATTTCCATTGGGGTCCTTAATCTTGTCCCCCAGGATGCGACCCACACAGTCGACTAACACCCAGGTACCTATTTGCTGCTAGGTGAACAGGACAATAGGTGTAAGGAAACATGTCGGAATTTCCACCCGCCGGGAATCGAACCCGGGCCCTCCGTGTGTGAAGCGGGAGCTTTAGCCACCAGACCACCAGGCCACCCCAATTAAAATATACCAGAAATGTTATAAATGGTGCAAAGGTAACATTAAAATAATATCAAAGATGGCTGACACAAACCCACTACCATTATAGTATGATCCTCACTTAGCGATGAATTTGTTTACCGACCTAGTCTCAGGAACAGAACTCTGTTGTTCAGTGAGAAGAGGCTGTATTTATAAATACTTTTTATTTAATATGACTCTTCTACTTTAATTAAGAATTCTTATAGTCTTTAATAGAGCTTTATTTGAGTACTTTTCTAGGCAATCTGAACACTGATATGATTGTTCTGAATCAACTTGTGTATGTGTAACAGATGTGGATTTTTGTGAAAAGTCTTTTGCACACACTGAGCATTGATGCGATTCTTCCCCTCCATGAATTATCAAATGTTTTCTTAGTGATGCTCTATCGGAAAAAGTTTTCAGGCAGATTGAACACTGCTATGGTTTCTCTCTTGTGTGAATTCTCAAGTGTTTTTTTAAAGATGAATTACAAGAAAAGCCTTTGAGACACACTGGACACTTGTATGGTCTCTCTCCTGTATGAAAACTCATGTGGCTTTTTAAGTAAAATTTAACTGAAAACTTTTTGAGACACACTGAACACTGATATGGTTTCTCTCCTGTATGAGTTCTCATGTGGGTTATTAAGGTTGGTTTCAGTGCAAAATCTTTCAGACAGACTGAACAGTGATACGGTTTTTCACCTGAATGAATTCTCATATGTCTAACTAAATGAGCTTTAAGTGTAAATCCTATTAGACATTCAGAACATTTATATGGTTTCTCTCCTGTATGAATTCTCATGTGTCTTATCAGAGAAAAGCTGACTGGAAAGTCTTTGAGACACACCGAACATTGATATGGTTTCTCTCCCGTATGATTTATCATGTGAATAGTTAAATGATATTTTTCTGTGAAGACTTTTGAACACACTGAACACTGATATGGCTTCTCACCTGTATGAGTTTTCTTATGTCTTATTAAATGTGATTTCAGTGTAAACTCTTTCAAACATTCTGAACACTGGTAGGCTTTCTCTTCTATGTGAATTTTCATGTGAGTTACTAAATGAGATTTAACCGAAAAGTCTTTTAAGCACACTGAACAATGATGTGGCTTCTCACCAGTGTGAATTTTGAGGTGCTTTTTCAAATCGTGTATCCGTGGAAATGCCTTGACACACTTGGAGCATTGATGCTTCTTCTCCACATGAGTTTTTAAATGCTTTACTAGAGCTGAGCGATTTAAAAAACGCTGCAGACATAATGAACACTGATGTCGTTCCTCTTCTCTGTCAACTCTCGTATCCATTAGTGAAGGTGACTCTTCTCCCAACTGCTCATACATGCTAGTGGCTTTCTTTGTGCTTAACAATACTTTATTACATGTAAACTACAGTTTGTATACTACACAAAGAAAAAACATTTTGAATTTGAATTCTGAATACTAACCTCAAACACGCTTTCTCCTCCATACAAAATACAAATGCGAATAATTTAAAAAAAAAAAAATAATAATTAATACCAATACTCTTTCCTATCTATACACACTCAAACATCTGCTCACAATATTTTTACAAAGCATTTAGAGCATATCAAACACACTATATATATGTAATGGGCTGTGAAATTAAATTTTTTTCCTGGCTAATGTTCGTAGGTACACTGAAGAACTTTCTTTTATGAGAAAGCACTAGCATAATAAAATGTATTTTTCCTATAAATACTCCCACATGTTATATATGAGAGTCAAGCATTTTATTAAATGAACCTGACCCACTAGAATTAAAAAAAAAAAAACATTGCACCAATTCACAACCCTTTTTAAGGAAATTTATGTAAGCAACCCTGAAAGACCAAAATACAGGAAATAATACTGTATTTCTGACACTTATGTGCATTGTTACACTTAATTACCATTGAATATATGTAGTTTACCACTAAATACTTGTATTATTACCACTGAATATATGTAATATTACCATCGAACACATGCAGGATGGATCCTACTCTTAGCATATTAAGTACGGTTCTTTGCCAAGTGCCGGATCAAACAGCCTGTGGTGGATATGTGGACCAGAAAGCTGCCAGCAGCAACAGCCAGGTTGATCAGGCAAGCACCAGACAAGCCTGGTCCAGGGTCAGGATGCAGGAGTCAGAAAACTCTTGAAACTCTTCAAGGTATATCAAAGATTTATAAAAGGATGAGCTGCAAAAGAAGAGAGAGATTAGGAAGGCTATAAAATAATATGAAACAATTTCAAGCTTTTGTTTTGGTACACTGCAGGGAGGGGTTCTTAGTCCCATGCTATTTAATATTCTGATTAATGCTCTACCTTCCTCACCTAAACATATAGCTATAAGCTATGCTGATGACATCATGATACATACAACAGGGCATAAGAAGATGCGCACCATTCTCAATGAAGTTCAAGCAATTTATAATCGACTAGGCCTCATAATATCTTCCTCTACAACAATTAACAAGCAAACGACATCCCCCACCCATCTATTTGCAGGGTGAAATAATTTTTTTTTTTTTTTTTTCAACAAGTCGGTCGTCTCCCACCGAGGCAGGGTGACCCAAAAAAAGAAAGAAAATCCCCAAAAAGAAAATACTTTCATCATCATTCAACACTTTCACCACACTCACACATTATCACTGCTTTTGCAGAGGTGCTCAGAATATAACAGTTTAGAAGCATATACGTATAGAGATACACAACATATCCCTCCAAACTGCCAATATCCCAAACCCCTCCTTTAAAGTGCAGGCATTGTACTTCCCATTTCCAGGACTCAAGTCCGACTATATGAAAATAACCGGCTTCCCTGAATCCCTTCACTAAATATTACCCTGCTCACACTCCAACAGATCGTCAGGTCCCAAGTATCATTCGTCTCCATTCACTCCTATCTAACACGCTCATGCACGCTTGCTGGAAGTCCAAGCCCCTCACCCACAAAACCTCCTTTACCCCCTCTTTCCAACCCTTTCGAGGATGACCCCTACCCCTCTTTCCTTCCCCTATAGATTTATATGCTTTCCATGTCATTCTACTTTGAAATCATTAGCTACATTAAAACCTACAGATATCTTGGTGTAGATATACCCTTTAACAAATCCACTATACCTCAACTAAATAAGAAATGCAAAGATAGGCTAAATGCTCTCAAAGCTGTTGGTGGCTACAACCCCAACTATGGTGCAAATGTGAGAATCGTGAGAATGATGTACATAGCCTATGTTAGGTCCTTAATTGATTATGTTGCTCCCATGTTGATATTAGCTAGGGAAAGTTCTCTCCGACCCTTGGAGTTATTGCAGAATGAAGCTCTCAGAATTATTTTTGGGTGTCCCAGATCTACAAAGGTTCTTAATATGAGGAAGGAGCTTGGTATTTCTAATATCAGTGATAGGATTGTTGAGATTAACACAGTACTCGGTATTAGAATGTTGAGAAATGAACCAGACTCTGTCACAGTGAATCTTACCAAGTGTCTAGAGGTAAATACACACAGATCTAAATGGATTGTGAAAACGTGCAATTGCATTAAGTTTTATAACCTGTATGAACTGTATCACTTTAGGCAACAAGAGCATTTCACCCCTCCATGGAAGATGTGCTCATTTAATATCACATACCTGGAAGTCCCTCCCAAGAAGCTCATTGCTAGTAATCCCTTCTTTAAATCACTTGTTAAAGCAACTGCTCAAGAAGAAATTTCTCGCCTAGCTAGTAGTAATAAGTTATCACAAGTTATATACACTGATGGATCTAAACAGTAGTCTTCTGGCAGGGCTGCATCTGCTCTTGTTGCCACCTCCCTAGTTAAGAACCATAATAAATTTGTTGAGTTAGGCATAAGAATTAACAACTGGGCATCTACACTGCAAACTGAATTGTTTGCAATCCTAATGGCACTAAAGATAACCTATGACACTGAGCTTGACTCTATCATCATTACTGATTCTATGTCATCACTGAAAGCTCTTGACTCATATAATGACTCCAATAACATGCTCATTGGAGAAGCCAGGTATAGATACTCAAAAATCAGGGACAAAGGAATTAATCTACAGTTGCTATGGATCCCATCACACACTGGATTACTCCTTCATGATAAAGTTGATATGTTAGCCAAGAAGAGTACCCAGAAGGAGAATGTAGAATATAACTTTGGTATAACTGTGTCTAGCATTAGGAATAATATTAGGAGAGAAGTAAATAATGAAAATGATTGTTATAGGAATGCAGTAAGAAGCCTGAGTAGATCTATAACCCACTATGATAACATGAACGTAGATAAGTATGTTTATGTAGCAACTTGCAATGTGAACACTGACTGATGTTGTAGTGGCCAGGCTTAGGCTTGGTTACAAGTACTGACTGATGTTGTAGTGGCCAGGCTTAGGCTTGGTTACAAGTACTGACTGATGTTGTAGTGGCAAGGCTTAGGCTTGGTTACAAGTACTGACTGATGTAGTGGCCAGATTTAGGCTTGGTTACAAGTACTTCTGGCAGTTTGGGAGACACACAGATGATGATCAAACTAAATGTAAATTATGTGATCAGGCATATGGCCACTCTCTTGAACACTATGTGCTTAATTGTCCACTTATTGAAGAATACAGAGACAGACAGTATAATAACCTATGTGACATGTCAAGATATCTTATTAATGAAAATAAGATACCAGATATACTAAGCAAATTTGCTTGTAACAGATAAGTGAACTACAGATATGTAGATATAAATCCATATGTATTCATGTTAACCCCCTGGGGCCTAGTTCCTGGGCCTTTTGTGTATCCATATGCTCTTGCGCTACCGTCCACAGGATGGATATTGGGTGCACAATAAACTAGCCACTTCGGTGGCTAAATCTAATCTGCTGCAAGGATAAGTTTAAGCTTTTGTTAATTCTGCTGCAAGGATAAGTTTAAGCTTTTGTTAATTCTGCTGCAAGGATAAGTTTAAGCTTTTAATTCTGCTGCAAGGATAAGTTTAAGCTTTTGTTAATTTGACTAAAAGGATAATCACATTTTTCAGATGAATGTAGCCTACATCTCAATAATCTATTTTAGTAAGTATGTAAGTTTATCTAGGTACAGGTACACATAAGTACAATTATCATACATAGTTTAACACATGTGAAATTACCTAGAAGACCCCCCCCCCCCAAAAAAAAAAGTCCAAGTGACTTGTTTCCATTGGGGTCCTTAAACTTATAAATTGCCAGAGTAAAGTTCCTCTACAGACAGGCACAGTGTCTACCAAGTGAGGCTTGCAGGACCCTATGTTTAGCTCTCATACAATGTATTATAGACTACTGTTGCTCTTCATGGTACTCAGCCTTAACAAAAAAAACTGAAAGATAGGCTACAAATCAGCCTGAAGAGAATGGTCCAGGAGAGCATGTAGGCCAGGATGGATTACAACAAAGGGATATGCTGAATGTTGAAGATAGAGTAAATCAACTAAAGCTAAATTACATTTATAAAATTGCTCACGACCAATGTCCTCAATATCTTAGTGCCAATTTTATTAAGGCTGGGAACCTGAGCAATTACAGAACTAGGGTGAGGGAGAACAATTTTGTAGTACCTAGAGTCAGTAGTCAGACTTCAAAGACATTTTTCTATACAGCAATAAAAGAGTGGAATAGATTGCCTGCACATAAAGAATAAAGATTTTATTTCTTTACAAAGGTTACAATGCATAATTACAAGTTTGATTTGTTAAGTATAAACAAAGTCACTATCATGTCGGGGCATTTTGGGCAGACTAATCCTAGTACATAATAACTAAAGTCTAGACATGATAAGAGTGATTAACTTTTTAATAAATCTTTATTTTATTTTAATACTAATGTGACGCAGTCAAGGCAAAGGTTTATAAGAATAAATATCTTGATGTTGCACACAATAAAAACATCACAATTAATGGTTCAAACCAGAAATATTTTATGGTGTGGCAGATGTTTAATTGACTAGAGGTCATATAATATATCAAAGCCTGTCGTACCATGATTATTATTTTAATCATGAGGGACCGCTAAACCCGTAGGATTATACAGCACACATGAGGAGGCTGGAAGGTATTCAGGCTCAGATCAGGGAACCGGAGTACAGATCCAATTCCCTGGATCAAAAGCCCCCTCACCAGCATCAAGGAACCTCCCTTGAGGGGTAAATTGGCAGATGTTTAATATGTCAAAGGCTGTCATAGCATGAGCCAGTTCAAGAAGAGAGCCATGAATAAGGCTACAGAAAGGGAGGAGAGTGATTTCCTGTATGAAAATAACTAATTTTACCTCTTTTCTAGTATATCAGCTTTAAAAAAAATACCATACCATACTGCTCTTAATTCACAAGGACACCAATGGAAATAAGTCACTGTCTGACTATATTGGGTTATCCTGGGTTCTCTACACATATGCTGCTATGTATGATAATCTATGTAACTGCGTATACCTGAATAAATTTACTTACTTAAAAGGCTTCTACTTAAAAGGCTCCTCCTTGTTGTTGGGTTTATATAAGGGCCACTGACACCTTACACCACTTCTAGTACTGTAAGTAAAATAAATAGTAATAATAATCATAATAATAATAAAATAAATATAATAATATCTTTATTTGCTACAAGTACATGTACATGGTATACAGGCCTAGTTGACATCAATGACATACTACTACATTGGACCCCCGGTTTACGATCAGCTCCCAATGCGACCAATTATGTAAGTGTATTTATGTAAGTGCGTTTGTATGTGTATGTTTGGGGGTCTGAAATGGACTAATCTAATTCACAATATTCCTTATGGGAACAAATTCGGTCAGTACTGGCACCTGAACATACTTCTGGAATGAAATAATATTGTAAACCGGGGGTCCACTGTATATAAAAAGCCCCTTGTTATGAATAACAAAAAAGGCACAATACCGTGACTGTTATGCAGAGCATTTTGGGCAAACTAGGTCATTGTCCCAGGATGCGACCCACACCAGTCGACTAACACCCAGGTACCCATTTTACTGATGGGTGAACATAGACAACCAGTGTAAAGAAACACACTGAATGTTTCTACCCCTCACTGGGAATCGAATGCAGACCCTTGCAGTGTGAAGCGAAAGCTTTAGCAACCAGGCCAAGGGGCACTGTAAGTAAGTAAAATAGAGTAAGTTAGTTTATATTGGTACAGGTCTATATAATAATCTATTTCTGCAAGTACATGCTACATCTTATACAATTATCATACCCAGTAACAAATGTAAGATTATTTTGGTACAGGTCCAGTCGAACCCCAATGGAAATAAGTCACTGACGTTTTTAGGTTATCCTGGAGGGTAGTCTACACATATGCTGTTAAGTATGATAATTTATGTAACCGTTTTTATGTGTACCAGCACGTGAATAAACACCATCAGATTAAACCATACCATGGGTGGGGTTAGAACCCACGATCAGAGTCACAAAACTCCAGACCGTCGTGTCAGCCACGATAAAATTTGTCCAACTAGGTATATTTCTACACCATAGGAAGGCTAGCATAAGCACCACTGTGACCACAAATACAACTTTTTACAGACGAATCTCCAGCTAGCGTGGCCTTGACGAACTCTAGCTCAAGTCTCCTCAAAGCCGTCAACATGACTCATGTCATTACGATTTCGTGAACCATCAGATTAATTAGAGAAGCGTCAGCTGAAAATGATCTCCTAAAGCCTGACCGGTAACTATGGAGAATGTTGTTGTCATTAAGATACTCGACGGTACACCGCCCTCTCTAGAATTTTGGATATTATACTGAGTATACTAAGAGGCCTATAGTTCCTGATATCAGGCCTATTATTTTTCTTGAAGACAGGAGTAACTCTGGCCTCCCTGAACCCCTGGCTAATATTGAGACTATAACAGATGCCCATTCCGTGACGTGCCCGGAGGGTAATGTAAGATGGCCCGGTGGCTAAAGCTCCTGCTTCACACATGGACGGCCCGGGTTCGATTCCTGGTGGGGTGGAAACATTTCGACGTGTTTCCTTACACCTGATGTACTGGTCACCTAGCGGTAAATAGGTACTTGGGTGCTAGGCAACTGGTGTGGGTCGCATCCTGTTGGACAAGATTGAGGACCACAATGGAAACAAGACAAAATAAGATTTCATTCGGATTTTTAGCCCCGGAGGGTTAGCCACCTAGGATAACCCAAGAAAGTGCGTCATCGAGGACTGTCTAACTTATTTCCATTGTGGTCCTCAATCTTGTCCCCAGGATGCCACCCACACCAGTCGACTAACACCCAGGTACCTACTTACTGCTAGGTGACCAGTACAACAGGTGTACGGAAACACACAAATGTTTCCACCCCACCGGGAATCGAACCCGGGCAGTCCCTGTGTGAAGCGAGAGCTTGACCCACCAGGCCACAGACAGACAGTCCTCGATGACGCACTGTCTTTCATGGGTTATCCTGGGTGGCTAACCCTCCGGGGTTAAAAATCCGAACAAAATCTAATGTCTCGCTCTCCTTCAGGTGAGAGGAAACGTCCACATTAGATAAAAACTGAAATAAGTCACTTTGACTTTTTTTTTGGATTATCCCAGGTTCTCTACCCATATGCTGCTATGTATGATAATCTATATAACTATTTGTATATACCTGAATCAACTCACTGACAACACCATGTTGTTGTTGGTTTATAGGGCCATCAGAGGCGGCGCCGAGTTGAACCCGACTCTCCGGAGTCCACACCAAGTTTAACGGGAATAAGTTCACTTATTATGCTAAGTGTGAATTATCTAGGATAACCCTTAAAGAGCCAGTGACTTATTTTCATCGGGGTCTTTGATTTTCATTGGAGTCCTTGATTTTCATTGGAGTCCTTGATTTTCATTGGAGTCCTTGATTTTCATTGGAGTCCTTGATTTTCATTGGAGTCCTTGATTTTCATTGGAGTCCTTGATTTTCATTGGAGTCCTTGATTTTCATTGGAGTCCTTGATTTTCATTGGAGTCCTTGATTTTCATTGGAGTTCTTGATTTTCATTGGTTCTTGATTTCCATTGGGGTCCTTGATTTTCGTTGGAGTCCTTGATTTCCATTGGGGTTACTATTTTAAATTAAAATACAATCATATACAATAATTCGAAAGCTCATATTACAATCAAACCAAGCACTAAACCCATGAGGGTTATAAATGCAAATAATTCAGGATAGGAAACAATATGCATGTGTAAAGAATGTAAAATATTATAAAAAAAAGAAGAGCTAAACCTACAAGGGTCATACAGCTCCGAGAACCTAAAATAACCCCCCCCCAAAAAAAAAAAAATCAAGACATATTTCCATTAGGGTCCATATTATAAGTCGCTGATATTATTAGTTAATTCTTAATATAGTTACTGATGGTCACTCTGAGGTTATATTCGTGTCCATTTTTTATATTTGTATTTGTAAATGTGTCCCGTGGTCTGGTAGACAACGCTCTCGCCTCACACAGAGTGTTCTTGATTCGATCCCCGGCAAGGGTGGAAACATTTATGTTCCCTTATACCTGCTGTCATTGTTCACTTAGCAAGTAGGTACCTGGGTGTTAGTGGACTAGTGTGGGTGGCATCCTGGGGGACAAGATTGAAAGACCACAATGGAAATAAGACAGACAGTCCTTGATGAAGCGCTGACTTTATTGGGGTTTCCTGTGTGGCTAACCCTCCGGGGTTAAAAATCCCAAATAAAAATATTAACTAAGAACAGTTTTGGTTCTTATCTCAAGATGAGTGTGGGAAGCATGATTAATTGTATATTATTTAGAAAGGGAGCGTTAAACCCGTAGAAAGTATACAATTAGTTTAGTTTAATATCTATTATGCATCCCATACCCATGGTGTGGGCGGTTTCCTCTAATTTAAGTACCGGTATGTACATACAACGACCCCCAGTGGAAACAAGTCACTTTGTGTGGCTTTTTTGGGTTATTTTGGTGGATAATTTACACATATACTAAACTATGTATGATAAGTATACTTCTGTGTACCTAAATAAACTTACTTAAGTGTCCCATAGTTGGGTATTTCCATAAGACACCTGCTATCCATGTTCACCAAGCAGTAAGTAGGTACCTGGGTGTTAGTGGACTGGTGTGGGTCACATCCTGGGGGACAAAATTGACTTAATTTGCGGGGAAATGCTCTGCATAACAAGCGGATTTCTATATAGTAGTATGTATATTATTATAAGGTCCCCCTTAAGTCTGCCTGAATGAGTCTCAAAACTCAAGATTTTCCCTATAAAACAGTAATATATGTAAAATATATAACCTTTGTAGTATAGAATACAAGCATTAACGATCCCATATTATAATTACAATCAACGCTTAGCACTAAACCCATAAGGGTCATGCGGCACTCAAAGTTCTAATATATAATAGTTTAGGTTTATGAGAGTAGAAAGAAAACTGGAAACTTTGATAATATAAGAGAAAACCATTTTTATATGTATGACTATTTTATTATTATAATAAACCCTAGCGCTAAACTTGTTGGGGTCATACATTATTATTATTATAATCAAGGGGGAAGCGCTAAACCCGGAGGATTATACAGCGCCTGGGGGGGGGGATGTGGAAGGCATTCAGGCTTAATTCGGGGAACTGGAGCACAGATCCAATTCCCTAAATCAAGAGCCCCTCACCAACATCAAGGAACCTTCCTTGAGGGGTATTTGTGAGTAAAGAATGTAAAGTAAATAAAGTGTAGTAAAGAGAGTATAGTAAATAAAGTGTAGTAAAGAAAGTAAAAAAAATATAGAGAGAAAGTATAGTAAAGGAAGTATAAAGTATAGTACGAAAAATAAAGTATAAAGAAAGTATAATATAGCAATGAAAGTAAACTACAGGAAGCAATAATAATAATCTTTATATCTACAAGTACATGATACAACTTATACAGACCATAACTGACACCAATGACATACTACTATATATGTGGAAAATATTTTAATTTTCCGAAGCTATAGTGCCTAATAGGTGTTTAATGTGTCGATATGGATCAAAAATGTATTTGAAAATTGGATAGAACCAAGAGTTCCCTTTGCGCATGCGTGGATGTGCGGGGGTAGAGGTCGACTCGGGGCATGGGAGAGGCGGCAGTGTTTTTGAATGGGTTTAAGAGGCTGTGAAAACATGGGACCAGGAAATTGGCATTCACGGCGGCCTAAGGATTAATATAGGCCTCACTTCATAATAGGAAGTGTCGTGACTGTCCCTGGTGAAGAGTGAGGGAACGTGATTGACGGCACCGCTTTAAATAAGGTGGTAAAATGAGTGAATAATGGTAGGACCGGTGGTGACTGGCGCGTCGCCATGGACTGTGTCCTGGGGAAAAATACCCGTGATTTAATCATCACTCATCGGTCTCAAATCTTAATGGAGTGGCCTCCAAGGTGTATAATAATTACGAGACATTAAACCGTCTTGTAAATTGTAATGTAATCAGTGATAATAACACTAAGTTAAGGAATCGTTGAAGCAATATGAACTGCCATTCCCAGAGTGTGTACGCACATGTTTACCTCGTTGTTCCTGTCCCAAGGATAGTGAAGGCTTTATGGAGTCACAACTTCTAAACCGGGACAAACCGACGGATACCTCGTCCTGCTGGAATAAGAACCGTGTCAGTGTAGCAGGACATCGAAATGAGATGGTGAATGGAGGAAATAAGGAGTATCAATCACCCACAGTTAAGTAACCCTTCTAGTTATAGCAGACTGATACTGGCCAGTTAGGTATGTTGTAATTGGATAGGTTATGAGTGATCCAGCTACATCAAGTGACCACCAGAGAATATCTGGCAAGTGGTGAGATTATGTACAAGTGTTTTTTCCTTAATGGATATATCCATGTGTAACCTACCCCCCCCTTCATTCAGTTATACTAATATAATCTATACAGACCGCAATTAATTAGTAGCACCGTGCTTGTGGGGGCTATCCAATCCATACTGGTCTCGGATAGACATGGATAAGATTGCGAGGTCAAAGGAACCACCTGCCGTGACCAGGGGTGGTTAAGTTTTCTCACATGTCTACACGGGGTGACTACGGTAAACAATATGGTCGTCTCCCAATGAGTTTACTTGTATGCATGTAATGTTGAGGTACATGAAGGTAATCACCCTAGAAAATTTTCCATATCTGCCCGCTGGTCCTTCAAACCGGATGCAATCAGTGAAAAAATTAATTTAATTACTTAGTAATTCAGTGACTGATTGAAGAAAGTGGGTATAGAGTACACAAATTTAATCGATCGTGTGGTGGATGATAATTAGCCTAATTAATTGCTAGCACATGTGTGGCTAGGATTTATACAAGAGTAAAGTGCAAGAATTACTCTTACAAGGTGCCTACTTAAGTTGTATAATCAGTGATTAATAATTCTCTAACCATGACTGGATCTGATGGAGTTAATGTGGCTGACAAGTCCGTGGATTTTAGAGTAATGAAAGCATCATTACAGGCTATTAAAGGCCATGTGATGAAGGCATTTGATTTAATGAATCAAAGAACCGTGAACCCTAATGAATTAAAGTTATATTTAGATGCTTTAGAGAGTAGATTTGATTGGTACAAATTGTGGTTTAAAGACTGTGAAAGAGATCTGCTGGAGAATTGTGCAGATGGAATGGAAATGAATGTTTAATTAATCAACATTACGAATTGGAAGAAAAACTGTCTTGTAAAGGTAAGGCTTTGAATAAATTAAAGGGTGTAAGCCAGGCAGTTGATCAACCTATTAATGCAAAGGGTGGGTTTGCCAAAACCTCCAGAGTACGGTCTGGAGGAAATCAGACTAGGTCGGCAGGAATTAATTGTTCAATTGCAGACCAATCAGTCAAACAGTTCTAAGGATATAACACATAATGACTCTGAAGTATCTGTAAAGTCTCAAAAGGGAAAAATAATCCCAGTGGTAATAATCATAGTTAAGAGTTAAATAGGCACATATCAAGTCAGGAATCAGTAATAGTGGTTCCTCACATCAAGGTAAGAGGAATAAGTACCTCAGTAAGGGTAACCCAGTTAATAAGAGGTCAGGCAAGGAAAAGAGAGACTGCCTCTTCTGCAAGGGTGCTCATTTCACTAAAAATTGTAATGCCTATAATTCATGGGATATTAAAGTGGAGAGGATGAAAGAACTTGACAGATTTACCAGATGTCTAGACAATCATAATGTAAAGGATTGTCATACCAAATTGAATAGTTGCTATCAATGCAACAAGGGAAGGCACCATACAGTTATGTGCAGGGTTGTATGTGATTCTTATAATAATGGTGACAATAATGATAATGTTAATAACCCTGACACTACAGTGACTGATGTAAAGGTTGCAGCTAATGGCAATAATGATGGCCTAGCTGAGGTAGCCTTGCCGGCGTTGGATGTAATAATTCAGGATAAAGGGCATAAATCCAAAAGCATGAGGCGTCACTCTCCTCAACACTGGTACGGGCCATGTAATATATGGCAAACTACCGCCTAGTAATAATGACTAGAAGTAGTGAATACAGTCACGGTGTCTTACTCATAAAAGGTCAACCCAGTACAAGTATTCTTCTATCGAGAATGATGTTGAACCAGTCTAATTTGTGGGAGCTGGACAGCATAGGGATTAATATAAATGAGGAAAGTCCAAATGATTCCATTACTCAGGAACAATACCTAAAGGATGTTAAATGTGAATCTGGACATTACTGG